GAGAAAGAAAAATAACAGTTAATCAAATTATTTTCAGGATATATATATATATATATATACTTATAAATCATTAACTGATATGCACTCTGTACCCAGCAAACGAGAATGGATTAAAATGGATTGAATTTTTTTTCTATCCAAATGCGTATTTTAAATAGCGAATACTTTTTTTTTATTTAATTGGATTCAATTAGATTCAATTGGATGCAATTAGATTGAAAAACTGCATTCCCTATTCAAAATTTTGAATTGAACAGTATTCACGATGCACAGAAAAAGCTAATATTATTTTTAGATTGAAAGGTATAGAGATATGTTCCATGCAATTCCTATAAATGAATAAAAATGTATTCAGGATTGAAAAGCATTCATTTTAACATTCGTGACTCAATATTTCTGAAAATCTAAATCCATTTCAATCCACTCACGTTTGCTGGACGGTTAGGATACATAGCGCCGACAACGATTTTCTGATCCTTACCTTTGACTCTCTATACATAAACAGAAGCAAATGATCGTAGTTACGTATAAGACAAAATATAAGCACAATGTAATATAATGTAATACAATAAAATTTAATCTTAAATTGGTCTAGTCAACCAATATTGGTATTGAGATACGTATCGTACGGTATGTACCCATGCTCCATGGTGTGTGAAATCTGATTCCATCATGTATGTACCAAAGTGGGAATGGTCGATCTTCGATCCAAGATTGATTTTTTTAGAAAATCGATTCTTTTACCTTCGACTTTCGGTTTTTAGATCGATTCTTAGGACCTCTCTCATTAACTTGACTACGTTCAGAAACGGTATCCCGCCCAGTTGTTACTCCATCCTTGTTATTTATCGAACATTAAACAGGGATGTCATGAAATTCGTGCAGAGACAAACATAAGAGAGGACACGAGGGCTTGTTTCCTGTAACCGCAAAATGCCTCCCCGCGCTACTGCCCTCTGAAGAAGTGGATGTAAACTACACAACAATATCCATTTTTTCGGTACTCCTGATGGAAATAAATCGCTGAAATCTCTATTAATTTGATAGATTTATTTCAGCGATTTCAGCGATTTAATTCCATCTATTTATTTCCATCGCAAAAAAGTGAATATTATTAGTAGTAGGTTTGTTCACGATGGTTGCACTTTTGGCACTCGACATCTTCGCTTTCTCTCTTTTCAAAGCAAAATATGTATCTATCTCATTTTAAATGCAAAAATATTTGGGAATTTCATGCAACGCGAATAGAGCCTGTGCAGTTTACATCCACTTCTTCTGAGGACAGTACTGCGCGAAGGGGAAGGGAAGTTACATGACATTTTTCCGCAAAACTAGACTGGAAAATGTTGGTACTAACAGAAACCTCTAGGCAACACGATTTTCAATAATTTGTATAGATTAGTAACATCACCGAGATACTATTAAAGACCGTCAATCCTGGGCAAATTTTTGACGATATAAAAAGGGCCTCAAGGGCCCGAAGGTAATTGAAGAATACTGACATTATCGACCATTGATATAAATTTGCTATTATTAACATAAATATTTGGCTCATACATTATTAAATTCATAATTTTTTAGTACATAAATGTTCCATAAATAAATATGCATACTTGTAAAGCTATAATCCTATATATTGCAGAAAAATTACAATTATAGGTGCGCAACTAAGTTTCCGGGTTTATTTGATCAATGAAAAATGGAAAATTTCAAGAGAAATACAAAAAAAGGTTTATTCAAAGTATCGTCCCTCGCTAGCTACACATTTTGCCATCTCTCTGGCAATACATGAATACCGCGACAATAAAACGACACGTCTTTGGACCGAAACCATTCAACCAATTTTGCACTTCTTCGAAATTGGCCAAGTGTAGCCCAGCCAAGCCATGCGCCATCGACCGGAACAAGTGATAATCGGAAGGCGCCAGGTCTGGCGAATACGGCGGGTGCGGTAGATTCAATTTCAGCGTTTTAATGGTGTCCTGGACGATGGAAGTGCGATGGCACGGAGCGTTGTGTCGTGCTGCAATATCACTCGTTCGTGTCTCGTGTCCCATTCTGGCCGTTTTTCGAGCAATGCATGGTTCGAAATCGCCACTTCTGAAGCGTTTAAACCAATCTTCACAGGTAGTTTTCGATGGTGCATGTTCGCCGTAGGCCTCCTCAAGGAAACGATGTGCTTCAGCTGCATTTTTTTTTCAAGTTAAAGCAGAAAAGCGAAGCTTCCCGCAAATGCTGTTTATTTGGCACAAAACTCGACATCTTCGTTATTAGAAAAAATATTTTTGCGTTGCGGTATGTGTTGGTATTACGACTGGTTATTGTTAACAGATGTCCAAGTTATAAAAAAAACACAACTTCAGACATATATGTCGACTACATGTGTCGTTAGCGCCATCCATGTGTGAAACCCGGAAACTTAGTTGCGCACCTAGTATCATCTGTTGATGATCAAACTTTGACGATAACACTGAAATTACAATTTTAAAGAAAAATCGAGTATTATTGAGTTCTAAATGCATAAATACGTTTACTAAACTAATAAATCATAAAATTAATACAATATTCATTATCAGTTTTTAACTCTTAATTACTTCAATATTCACAAGGATGTCAGCTTTAATAGTATCTCGTCGGTAATAACACCGTTGAAGTAGCAAGTCCATAAGTCCACAAACTTATGGACTTATTACTTCAACAGTGGCCTAGTTTTCACCGAGGGTTTAATCCGAATCAGAATGTAAGAATCAATCAACTACAGTCGAGTTCCCCTGTTACAGTCGAACGACAGGTCTGATGAAAAATTGATTGTTAGTCAAAATAATTGATTGTTGAAATCGTTTGACTAGAGTCCTTAAAACAACCAATCTGGCCATGTCTAAATATGGCCTATATGATTTTTGCGTATTGACTCGTTTTTCGACACAGCTTTAAAATTCTAACAGACAGTCGTAGAAGCATATAAATCGCATTATATATTATTTTAAAGAAAATGTAATTTAAGATTGTATTTAAAAAAAAATAAAACTTCCTACGAGAATTTCTTCAAATCAACACAAAAATAATTTATACAATTGTCAATTTATTTAACAAATCATTAACGATAAGCATTACAATAAAACAATGATTACATGATTTATTTCGTTTTTTGCAGTTACTGTAAACGTTTTTTAGACTCAAATCCACGTAAACATCGAGATTTTAAGTATTTTAAAATTGCAAATCACGAGTTTAGATGGAAATACACGCACACAAGCATACAAGAGACACATACTTATCTGGTAAACATCAAGTCAAAAAATGAATTGAACCTAACTACATTGCACAGATAAAAATTTTACATGTAATATATATCGCAATCTTTAAATTATTAAATTATAATTGATTATAGCTCAACATGGTTATAGCAGGCAACATTTTTTCATCATCTATAAGATTTAGCAATTATAAGTATAAAAAAAAAATAATTAAAAAATAACTAAACTATTTATTTTGACCATTACGCAATTAACTATAAATAAATATCACATTCGGCTTACTGTCATAAATGTTTCATTATATACTTTCCACGATGATATTAATGTCATTTACAATATGGGCACTGCTACTTGTACTTTCAAACATGATTTTGTTCTCCTAAGTATCTTCTATCTTGAGATAAAAGTTAATCTGTACATAAGATATTCAAGTTAAATTTGGGGGGGACCCGCTGGATTTGCTTTATTTGTCCTACGACGTGCTAATTCAGACATAACCACGGGACCAATATGTAGTGATCTTGGGCTACTTGCTATTACTCTGTATGTCTCTGCAACTGCCATCTGAAATTAAGATCCGATGTGAGAGTATTATGTATAAATTTGTTGAAAATGTTATATAGAAAAAGAATAGTGCGACATATTTTCAAATAGATGCTACAAATGCATC